AAGTGGGCCAGGAACATCTTTCAGTGTCCCAAAATAAAACTGTTTCAAAAATCATAGGAACATGCTGGAGAAAGGACTTGTGTTGAAGTCTACAGCAAATATGCTGCCTTGGTGTTCACTTTGTGTCTTGTTACCCAGCTTTGATAATTTCTCCTTGTCATTTCTTTCTGGCTGAGGCCACATAGCTCTCATCCCAAATTCATACTGTGGCCTTGCACCCAGCAGAATTCTGAGATAATATCTTCATACAGGAAAGAATTTGCATCGATTCATCTCAAATATCATGCTTCCTTGGTTTAAAGTTCCTGGTCACTACCCCACCACCCCATTGCTTCCGTTCTGCACACTGGACCCTGGTAAAAGTTCCCCACTCCTCCTTCTCTCTTCACATACTTCCTGGTCTGTGTGTGTGGCCTACAGGTTTGCCATGCAATGAAATCTTTATTTATACTTTATGTTTTCCTAATCACTGAAGGAATGCTCAGTGATTAAAGATTCTAAATTAGGGAACAAATTTGAAGATCCCAGCGACCAAAGATGATACGTCTTGAACACCAAAATAATAATTGTGACTACAGATTATATTTGAATTACAAAAAGGAAGTCTTGGACTAGAACTTTGAGAGTGGACAATATTTAGGTAGCTAGAAAAGAAATGGAATTTAGTCAGTATGAACAAAACAAGGAGGTGGCAGAGAAGGGCATCATCCAGGGATCTGGGTGACAAGGCTACCCCTGCTGGTGTGGCAGATCCAGGGAGTAGAGGTCAGCAAGGTTGAGATTTGGCAGCTTGAGGTCATGAATACAAGTGTGAAGATTGACTCTGGGTGCTGTTTGAAGTAACTGAGCAGAAAAGTTCAAGGGGAAATGATAAAACAGACATCTCTGGGGGGCTACAAGGGTACCCTGGTAGCTATGAGGGAGAAGAGAGGGAGGTCACTGAGGGTCTTTGTAGCAGCTGAACTGGCAAAAGTGCTGGGAATGAATAAAGAATAAAAATGTCTCAGATTAAAAAAGCATGTCTAAATAAATTTATGTCCTTGATAGAGGAGAAGGGAGAATCAATAACTGGGTTTCTCTGCTTAAGGACAATGTGGGCACTGAACTAAATATGTAAGGCAGAGAATTGGTTTTCAGTGTGTTTTGGATTGGATTTGAATATGTTGACTGTGAGCCAATGGCATTTTGATGCTTACAAAACTCAAAAGGTTGAGGTAATGTCCCAATTTTGGGGTGCTGCTGGCTCCTTCCATTAGCCAGTTTGATCTCTTACAGACCTCAGGGGAAAGGAGGGTTTCAGTGTCTTCTTGAAGCTCCTGCCCATGATTGCTTGTCACGAGGACGTCATGGGGCTCCACAGACTCTTTGACAGAGCATAAGGTCTACTCCCAATTGGACCAAGAAAGAATGCAGGTTTCGATACATGGAATTTCTTTTTTACTCCTGCAGCAAGGTCAGACTGAGGGGCCTGTGGTTTGTGGCCGTCTGGCTCCTGTGAGGTCTGCTGTCCTCCCTGCCTGCCGGCCCTCAGCTTGGCTAGAGGAGCGTGTCCCGAGCACCATCATCATTGTGAACAGGCAACCAAGCAGCCTTCCTCCCTGTACTCTTGGCATTCATGTGGCATGGCTATAAATTATGCCCAGTGTGTTCATTTTCAGTTTAAATGTGTTCTCATCCCAGAGGAGCGACTAATGGCGTCAAGTTACTGATGTGAAAAAAGCCTGCCGCTACAATGACTATGGATTAATGAAATAGCAGCCGTGGAGGCTGGGGTGGCAATAAATCGTCAGCCACTGGTGACATGGATTTTAAATTATGTTCTCCGTCCCCTTTCCCCTTCTCCAAAATCATTTTGCTGTGAAGTTGTTGGGTAAATGTTTACCTTTGCTTAAATGTTTGCTTTGTATTAAAAGTTTAGGCAAGCAAGGCCCCTTCCTCTTAGAAAACTGCAAGCCAGCTCAAGGGGATTTAAAAGCCTATCATACTTTTCTAGGAGGCGTGAAGCAAATCTCTTAATCCAGGATCATCAGTGAGTGATAAATTTCATTCAGGGAGCCCATTGATAGGCCATGGAGAGTCTGAGAATTCCTGATCCTAAAAGCAAATTGTTCATATGTTTTTCTAGAAAGATAGTCTATAGATTTCATCAAATTCACTAAATCTTCTGTAAAAGCAAAAATATTTTAAGGGTTACTATGGTGCATTGCACAGATGGCTATAATTTCTTCCTCTTCACATATCCAAGCCCTTGCAATGGAGTTTTGTAACTCCTTCTACTGAGAGGAGGAGTATTTATCCATCCCTTGATTTCTCGGTAGGACTTGAGACCAGCTTTGACCTATAGGATTTTAGCAAATGTAATGGAAGAAAACCAGAAAAAGAACTTGGACACTGGGGATGGCCTGCTTACTATTCCTGGACCTCTGCTGCTATGTGAACAGAGCTGGGCTAACCCTATGAGCTCCATGGCCCAGGCACCCCGATCCTTCCAGCTGACTCCCTAGGAATGCAGACAGCAAGCACAGCCATGACCAGTCACACCTGAGCCAAACCCGAACAGTCCAGCTCACACTGCTGCTTATGTAAGTTTGACCTAAATAAACATGATTTGGGGTATCTTATTACCCCAAACTGATACATGTTCTATATCAGACACTGCACATTTTGAGGGTGGGAGCATGTCCTATTTCAATTTTGCATTCCCTTTTCCTAGATACATAGGAACAATTTAATATGTATTTGTTCAAATGGGTAGAACTGGCCTCCCCAAGACTGGGCTTAAGCTCCTTTCTGAAGGTCACTTAGTAAATCAGGAGGGATTCCAGACCTGACTCTAAGCCTCAGTTTTCTCACATATAAAATGTGCTCCAAAATACCTACCCTGTGGTGCTGTTGCAGTTACTGGAGATACTATGTGCTTTAGAGAAGTGGTTGATTCATGACAGGATGGCAGCTTGAGCAGAGTCAAGCTTAGGAAGAAGCCTTGAAACACAGTGGCAGGCAGGACACCCTGCATGTTTTGGTGATCACCTATATTCAGCAAACAGACTGCAGTTTCCAGTTGTCAGCTTTTTCTGCTGCAAAGTAAGATTGGCTCCTTCAGGCTCAGAGGTCCAAAGAGTAAAGATGTCTCAAAATTCTGCATCTTCATAAAAGACCTTGGATAGTCAAAATAATCTTGAACAAAATGAACAAAGTTGGAGGCATCATAATGCCTGGTATCAAGACCTACTATAGGGCCTCACAGTAACCAAGATGACGCAGTGTGGTATAGAAACAGGTGCACACGTCAGTGGAGCAAACAGAGACCCCCAAAGGATACCCACACAGCTACAGACAGCTAATTCTCAAAAAAGGTACCAAAAACACTAAGCCTACTCAATAAATGGTGCCAGCAAAGCTGGATATCCTCCTGCAGAAGAAGGAAGTAGAATCCCTCTCACCCTGTACAAAAATCAACTTAAAATGGATCAAAGACCAGAATGGACCCCCTCAAACCAAAATGATTGTCAAAAACACAGGGAAAACTCATTTCTAAAGGTAACAACTTTTTGAATATGACCCCTAAAGCATAGGAAAGAAAATACAAAATAGGTAAGTGGGATTACATCAAATTTAAAATCTTCTGAATGATAGAGGAAATGATAGAGTGAAAAGACAACTTAGTCAGCGGGAGAAAATACTTGCTAACTATCCAAAACATATAAAGAACTTAAAAAACTTAAACCCCAAATAATCCAATTATAAGACAGGTAAATGATCTGACCAGACACTTTGCAAAAGCCAATAAATACATTTTAAAAAGACTCACTATCAGCAGTCATCCGGGGAAATGCAAATGGAAATCAGGAGATTCTAGCTCACTCCAATTAAAATAGCTAGTATTTTTTAAAAACCCAAAATAACAAATAACAAATAAATCCTGGTAAAGATGTGCAGCAAAAGGAACTCTCATATACTGCTGGCAGGGATGTAAACTGCCGGGACCATCATGGAGAACAGTAAGGGGTTCCTGAAGAAACTGCACAGATCCACCTGTCCCACATGGCCAAAGGAAATCAACAAATCAGCATATTTATTGCTGCACTACCCACAGCAGCCTTGATATGAAATCAACTTGGGTGCCCATCAAGAACTGGACGAAGAAAATGTTGTCACAGTGGGACATTATTCTGCCATAGAGAAGAATGAAATCCTATTATGTGCAGCAAAATGAGTACGACTAGCAGTTATTATGTTAAGTGGATGCTGAAAGGCAAGCACTACAGTTTCTCTCATACATGGAAGTCAAAGGAAAAAAAGTCAACCCAAGTGTAGAACACAGATCACTAGAAGCTGGGAACTGGCAGAGAGAGGAAGAGGGCAAAAGGGAGGCTGGACGTGAACAATGCACACTATATACATGCACGGAAATGTTACCCTGAATCCCATTAATCTGTACAAGTAATATATGTTAATCAAAAATAAATAATACAAAGTTCAGTTTTTACCAAAATGGAAACTAAGTTTATGCTTGGGAGCAAATATGAATGTAGTGATTGTTATCCAGTTACCGCTACATGTATCCCAAGAGGAAGTTGTAACTCATTCTGTCATGGTTTGAATAGGATTTTCTATCTGGAATGGTGACATGTTAACTACTAAAATCAGCAATAAGTAAGCAAAGAAAACAGCTGGATGGTGGCTTCAACATTTTCATATTTATTATAATCGTGCTTCCCTACAGCCAATGATAGAGTTGGCAAACCACGCCTGCCTCAATTACCTGCTCAGACACAGAGTAGCATTTCCAATAGGGAGAGTCACACAGTGAATAGGAGAGCGTGTGACCCCAGTAAGGCATGCGGAAAGGTGTGAGCCATCTCTCTCCATCTGGGTTTTCCTAGGATGCTCGTATGTTGGCGTCACATTCTTCTAAGAGTAGGATTAAATCTTCAATCAGGCTGTGTTCTCTGCCGTGTGTCACCCGCATAATATCAAAGGCCTGAAGGGAAAGGGAGAGTCACACAGTGAATAGGAGAGCGTGTGACCCCAGTAAGGCATGCGGAAAGGTGTGAGCCATCTCTCTCCATCTGGGTTTTCCTAGGATGCTCGTATGTTGGCGTCACATTCTTCTAAGAGTAGGATTAAATCTTCAATCAGGCTGTGTTCTCTGCCGTGTGTCACCCGCATAATATCAAAGGCCTGAAGGGAAAGGAGAGCAGACAGATTAGGCAGGCGAGCCCTGTCTGCTTCCTGTTTTCCCCATGATGCTGGGGTCGGTGAGCCTCAGGTCACAGGGTGAGCAGTCTCTGAGGCTCGTGCGCCGCGGTTCCCTGCGCCACCGCGTAAGTTACAGGCTGCTGTCCGGAAAGCAGATTTGTGACTCAATTCATCCAGGGAGCCAGAGAGAGCGGCCTTAGCAGACAGTTCAGAGCACAGGTTTAGGTGGTTACAGGTGCTTAAGAATGCCTACTGAGATGATTAGGGCACAGGAAAGAAGACAGGATGCCTCTACCTCCTGTGGTAACTGTTCGGTTCTGCACGCTGTATGTGGTTCTCATGTTAGGCACCGACACTGCTGTGTTCTTCCATCACATATGGCGTCAGAGCACGGGCATTCTGATGATCCCCTCCTTCACTTTCCATTTTCCCATCACTAAGTCCTGCCAATTCTACTTCCAAAATATTTCTGAAATCAGGGTGGGCTTGTGACTGCTTCAACAGGAGAACACAGTGGGAGTAAAGCTATCCATTGAGGCCACGGGGCCACAGGGCTTCTACCTCATTTGCCTGTTTGGTCCTGGAACTCAAGCCTCCATGCTGGGACAAGGTGCGGTGAGAGCCATGTCTAGGTGGCTTTGGCTGACAGTCCCACCCACCCTGAGGCTTTCTAGCCACACGGAAACCATCAGCTATTCCAGTGCCCAGCCAGAAGTCAGCCCAGTGAAACTCCAGAAAATGTGTCTCTCCAGACAAAACATCAGGTGTCATGAAAATGCAGGAATCCCTTCCTGTTGTGCTGCATCCCAGTTTCTGACTCAGACTCTATGAGCGTAATTCTGTTGCCATTTTACTCTACAGAGTTTTTGGATGGTTTATTATGAGCAATAAACAAGCAGAACACCATCAGAGATGTCTTTGCAATAAATGAATTAGACACACAATATCACCTTGCATTGCCCAAATGGGGCCTGGGGAGGGCTAGAAAGATGTTAGGCACCCAGCAAAGCACCTGTACCTAGTACTGAGGCTCAGTTGTGGCCGAGTACTAGTATCACTGGGGCAGTGCCAAGAGTCACCAGGCCCAGAGCACACACATGATCTACTGAAATGTGTTCTCTTGGACCCAGGCTGGGACTCCAGGAGAGTCTTGGATGCCCTGAGTTGTGAACATTCAGTACAGTAACTCAACAAGTAACAGCAGCTATTCATTACCCAATGTTAATTTATAGTCAGCATAATTACTATTTTAATAGCTCTATACAATTAATGCCATTATGTTTATAGACCATTATTTAATAAAGCACTCTTGGAAATTTAGATCTTTTCATGTTTTTATTATGATATGTTGCAGATCTTCTAGCCTAAAACATTTTTTTGTCTTTGTTAGATATTAGCTTAAGATAAATTTCTAAGGGTAGTACTGGACATGGACATCAGAAAAGCCCAGAATTCTGGAGGGGGTAAGCACCTTGCTGGCCAGCTGTGAGACCCCATTTGTTCTCACAATGTTCCCCTTGTGAGAGCCCTTCGTGTGAACAGAGAAGAGACTGAAGCCAGAGATGCAATGCAGTCAGGTGGGTGGTGGCCCCGTGGTTTCAAATGGATAGCTTTACTCCTACTGTGCTCCTGGCTTCTTTAAAAAGTCCCCTTTATGCTAGAAGAAAGGAAAACAAGCAGACAGAGTGAGGTCTATAGTTAGCTGCTCAAAGAGAGGGAGAAGGGGAAAAGAGCAGGAAAGGCCAGGCCTCTCAGCCTGGAAGAAAGCTCTGATCATGGGGCTGGGAGGCCAGCTGTCACCTGCAGCAGCAGTCAGAGCCCCAGAAGGAGGCTGGGCTGAGCGAGGTGTGAGGCAGTTCTCTTCTTATTACTGCCAGGGTGTCTGCCCTGTGGGGGCACAGTGTATGCCAACAAATCCTGAGGCACGGGGTCCTGGGCGGGCAAGAGAGGCATTGGGCGCTGCCCACCTCACAGGCAGCCAAGCTCTGTGAGCTTCCTTCAGGCAGATTAAAGAGAAACGTCTGATGTCATTCAGCAAGCACCCTGGGCCTCCACTGTTCTGGAAATCCTAAGGTCCTAGGCAGAGGCCCGTGTGGCATTGTGACTATAAGGGAGGGAGGGGGACTCCTGGAGTCCTCATACTTGAAAGCTGCCTTAGAGGTCCTTTTCCTTTCCACGCAGCAGAGGCCGGATGTGCTGCACTGTGGCAGCATAGGATAAATGGAGCAGAAGCACAGCCTGAAAGCGTCTTTGTAGAAGGGGCATCACTTTTCACACTGAAAGGGGCCAGGCCTGGCCCGCGGGCTGGCCTCCCTCTCGCCTGCACAACGCCCTCTGCTGGTGAGGGCCGGGCTTGGTTTCCGGAATGCCCAGAGCAGGGGCTTTTCCTGCTGCTTGCATTTCTCCAGGTTCTCCACCTGCAGGAGGACTGGTCTGTGCTTCCTTGCGATTTCCCACACAGACTAAATGACAACGCCATCTTCTTGCTAAGGTGACAGTATGAGGGTGATCCGCATGTTTTCAAATATAATTCTGGCTCCAGTCTTTCTTTCTCACTCCCTTTCTTCTGGTTCTAGTCATGTTTCGCTTTCTCATTTCCAGCTTTAAGAATAAGTCCTCTCAAAAGTCAAAGTTCACTGCCACTGATCTGGAGCCCTCCTGTTCACGGCAGGACAGACCTGCCCTCTGACAGCAGGACAAGCGTCCACAGGGGGCATGCAGCCCAGCCATTCTGGAGTTGCAGGGCTCCAGCAGGGACCTCCCTGGCCTCCCAACCTACCGACTCAAGGCAGGGCCTAGACACCAGCCATTCCAACATGCTCCTGTTAGGGAAGGACCTGCTCCCAAGGTCACCTGGCCTGAGAAGCGGACTGAGGGGTGCTGCACAGCTCTCAGGACTCATCCCCAGTCCATCCCACCATGCATGTGTACCTCCACCAGACAGCAGTCTGCAGTGACCGAGGAGAAGGGCTGGGCTCCTGGACGTGGCTTCTGAGACACCCTGAGGGGCACAGAGGTCTTGCTAGTCAAGAGGCTGCCCACTGTGTTCTGTACTGTTATTTAGTGGCGACTACAACACTTAGAGCAGAGGTGGGAGGGGGCAGCCCCAGGTACATCTGCACAGTTACGAGAACCCAACCTCCAAGGATCTTCTCCCCAGAGCGGCTGGAAGCAGTGAGGTAAGAGGTGTAGGAGGGAACAGAGCACTAATTTGAAGAGACTGAAAAATACTACATCATTTGTCTAAAAAACAAAACTCAACATAGATGATTAGTTAACAAATAAATCTTGTGACTTTTTCTGAAAAATAGACAGATGTAGAAGAAAGCAGGAAGGGAGAAACTCGGTTATGTGTGAAGTGTGACAGTGACTTTCGCGTTGTGGATGTGTCTGCATGAGAATGACACGATGCACTCGTGGACAGGAAGGGACAACCCAGTCCTGGTGATGGAGGGGACACCTGATGGTTATCCAGGATGTCACCTGGAACTGGGGCAAGCTGCTCCCATGACATAGAAGGGGCCCTTTGTGCGTCCAGACACAGCTCTTCGGGCCATGGGAAGATGAAAGAAAAGTTACAATTAATCTCTGACAAACCAGAGCAACTGTTTCCAGGAGCTGAATCTCCCTCTCAGAAACTCCCAAGTGCCATACACACCATGTCAGAGAAGACAGTTTCAGTTTAATTTCCTGCAGCAGCATACAAAACAGATTAAGGAAATATAAAATCAGAGCCAGCTTGTGTTGGGAAAAGCTTATCTCTTTCCATTAAATTTTATTTTTTTAACGGTAGCATTTTAAAAGAGCCTGTACATAATCCTTCACAGAGGACTCGTTTGGAAGCTCCTGGGAGGAGCGGGTGTGCACCCATGTATAGATTCTAAATGTCACACGAGAAATGGAAGCATAGATTGTCTGCCACAAGACAGGCACATGATTCACTGAGGAATTAAGAAAGGGTCCCAGAACTGATTTCAATCTCATCGCATCTTTTTTTAGAAGTAATTTTAGAATTGTCACCATATATTAAAGACAATGAATTAAATCAAATTGAGATTCAAAGTTGGAAGCAATATGGCTTTCATATTAATTTTTAATACAAATATATTAACCATATCAAAGATCTCATATACTTTCTACAGTGAGCCTGAGGAATCCAATAAATTACTTCCCCGAGCATGATTTAAATATGGATATAAAATCAGATGGAAAAATGCATGTATGATAAGAACCTCTGGAATGAGATCACAACAGGAAGCTTCAAACACTGGAGCAGCCTTTTTTATTTTGCCCATCTCGGGAGCACAGGGTGAGGGGGTAGTTTGGGGAGTAGAGTAGGAAATATAAGCAAGAGCTACACACATCAAGCAACTCCAGAGGCACAAAAAGCTCTTCACAAAGGCAGAAAACCCTAAAGCCTCTTGATTACCTATCTGAGCTCAGCAGCGCCCCTGCTGACCCCACTGCCCACGACACCTGGAGTAATTAACTCTCCAAGTGCGCAACCCCAGGAAAGGATTTTGTCTTTCTGGGAGGTAGAATGTCCTGGCAGAAAACATCTGTCCGTTCATTCATTTACCATTGCCTGAGTAGCTATCAGGGGCGAGATTTGACCTTTGACCTGGGAGGAGATCTGGCACAAGAAATAGATCATCCCAGTGAAGCAATATGTGCAACATGCAAAGTGCTGGGACGCCCAGAGGGAGGGGACCAGAGCTGCCTAGGGAAGCCTCAGGCGGGGGTCACAGATACAAGGGGCTCACGAGGTAGAAACCTCCAGTGCTAGCAACTATTCCAGAAAAACAGTTGCTGTGTTGCTACATTTATTCAATCAAATGAATATTAAGTACCTGAGACACCGCGGAGAAGTCATCTCTTCCGTGAGCCTCAGTTTCCTCAAATAAATGGAGACAAAAGAAGAGCAATGGAGTCCCAAGGAGCTTTATAATGTGCCACACTAGACACAGAGCTAGGGGGTGTAG